GCTCATTTTTAAAGATGTTCTTTATAGCTCTGTACCTCTTTCTTTTCTTAGTCTTCCCAGTTTAACCTCTTGAGAACCAATCTTTGTATTATTGCAGTCATCTCATTTTTCTAGCTTCTCTTTCTATTTAAATGCCAAACCAGTGTTCTAAAAGAAATCATATTCCTCTGCTACCAGGATGTTTGATGGATTTCAGAAGATTTAGATTCCCTAAAGTGGAGAAGGTCATCATTCTTGGTAATGTAGAAGGTCAGCAATAAAGAGAAAATACTCAATGAAATGGATTGTACACCATATCTTCAATGGTGGGCTCAAGCTCAGGGGCTATATTGAAGATTTCATAGGATAAGGCAATATTTCATTCTGTTATACATAGCTTTGTTATGAATCTAAACCAACTTAACAGCACCAAACAATAACAATGCGACATATACAATTTCAGTAAATGGATTCACTTCCATCTATATTTCCTACACTTGTCAACTGCTTTCACCAATAGCTGTGTCAATTTTCTACATGTACTCTCACCTTCATCATTCCTTAACCCAGAATTCACACACATTTCCATCAATATTGTCTATAGTCATGATTTTATTTCTCTTTCCCCCTCCAAATTAATTTTTCAGCTTTTAAGCATAATGTCTGTTAATAGTTTATGACTCAGTATCCCAGGAGATACTGATCCCCCTATTCTTAATTCCCAAACACATACCCAATGCATCCTAAAAATTACCTGTATATAACCCCCATTGATTTCACTCCCTCATATGTGTATGTCCAATTTCCTGATTGATTTTAAGGATTTGGAGATCAAGTGTGACTTACATTTCTGTAAAAAGAGAGGCAAATAGTGTGGGAAAAGGGGTCATTCATTCAGATTCATTGGGGGTGCCTCCAGGTAATAGGGAAGCTACTTTGGTTTTTTTTTCAATTCTGGAAAGCCTGGAAAACAATGCACAACTCATCATCAGTAGGTAATTGATGGGAAAGGTCCAGTGTGGTGTCTACCAGAGGAGGGGGTCTCATTAAACTAGTTTTCATATATATATTCAAGTGGTGAAAATATTGTTTTTTACAGTTATTTTATGGGTTTCACTATGTTCTGCAGGACATATGCTGAGCAGCATTTTCTGTGCTAACAATATATCAAAGATTTACATTAGAACTGGTTCAGGTAATTGATTTTTCTAATAACAAACAAAACAAGTAATGCTATCTAAGGGGGAAATCATTAAATTAATGGGCACATTAAGGAATTGCACTGTTATCCATCATGGACAACTAACAAACTACGTGAAAACATTCAAATCCATAGCACTTTCAATATAAATAGCAATATTTTCAACTAATGATTGTTAAATTATTATACAAGCAATCGACTTCAGACAAATTGAGAATAAAAATGACTCAACACTAAAACAAAAGAGGCCCTTGATTGGAGAATATGCATTCTGAATAAATCTATATTCAATCATAAATTCTTTGGAGAATAAAATTTAAATGCACAATTTATTTCTGATAGATGATGAGGCTTACATAAGCAATATAAATACTTGATCTGAATGTGACAGTAAAATTATAAAGAATTCCATAAATTTGCTGCCAATGTAAATGGAGCCTACCTTTCTACAGTGGATTTTATTGCTGGAATTTATTAACTAGGTTGAAATTTGTGGTTAATTCCACTGTGACAAAATTTATGACCTTAGGAGCAGTCATTTAATTTACTTATAAGAGACCCTCATGGTTTAGATTTTGAAAAACACAATCCCTCTTCTCTGAACTCAATCATGCGTGCATAATATGAGTTAAAAGTAATCATAATTTACTTTTTAATATGTGATAAGCAAACTGGTCATTTTCCATTTTCTCAGAATTTTAAGTAAACTTTGAAAAGTTTACTTAAAATCAATTGATGGTATTAGTTTTAGAATGTTCTGAGGTTTTCCTTTCATAAGTTTTTTCATAGCATTTATTAATTCTTTATTCCTTAGACTATAAATAAAGGGGTTTAATAATGGAACTATTACTGTATAAAAAACAGCAACTGGTATCTCTTTTTCTCCTTCGTTGGCTGAAGTGGGCCGGATATACATGAACAGAAGAGAACCATAGAATATTGTGATAGAAAGAAAGTGAGATGCACAAGTGTATAAACCTTTGCCTTTTCCCTCTTTGGATTTCATTTGGAAAATGGTGTACAGTATGCAAAGATAAGAGATTAAGACTACAGTAATAGTGGAGATTTGAACTGATCCTGAGAAAATAAGTACCATCAGTTTATTGAGATAAGGATCAATACAGGAGAGTCTGTATAATGGAAGAATATCACAAAAAAAGTGATTGATGTGATGAGATCCACAGAAGGTTAGCCTAAATAAAAGCCCTACATGAATCATGGAATGCAGGTTCCCAGCTATATAAGCTCCTATGGTCATTTGAATACAGAGTTGCTTTGACATCATGGTGTGGTACTGCAGTGGTCTGCATATGGCCACATAGCGATCATAGGCCATTGCTGCCAGGAGAAAGCAGTCTGCAGTTTCAGCAAGGCAGAGAATATAAAACTGTGCCATGCATTCATGAAGGGAAATCATTTTGTCCTCAGAAAAGAAGTTCTGTAACATCTTGGGGGTAATGGCACAGGAACAGAAAGAATCCATCAGAGCCAGGTTGCCCAGAAAGATGTACATGGGTGTGTGCAGACGGCGTTCCATGGAGATCAACACCACCAATCCAAGATTGCCCACCATGGTGATCAGATAGATGACAAAGAACACCACGAACCGCAGGGTCTTCAGATCTGGGTGGTCCGTAAACCCCCTGAGGATAAAGTTTATTGTCAAGGAGTGATTGTCCTGGATCATCTCTTCTTCTATGTTGAAATAAAAATTCTGGAGATAGGATTCTAATTCAGAGTGTGTCTCCTTTTTCTCTAGAATATCTTTTCTACAACATGGAGTACAGCCACATCTTTGAACTTTCTTTGTTGTCTCTAAAGCAAGCATACATACTTCTCAGGAAAATTCGTTTTCCTAAAGCATCATCTTAGATGACCTCAAGAACTGAAGCTCAGGATTCACAATAACATTTTGATATTTCCAGAGGAATATTTGAAATGAAAGGTTTATTTTATGAATTTTAGACAGTTAACAAGTACAGTGAACAAAACCCCTAAATTTAGTGTTCTTAGACCATTCTTTGTCAGCCTTTGTATTGATGATCTTTAAGAGATACTGAAAATCCACTTTATATACTTCATCCCAACTGAGTTAACGTTTTTTGTATGCTATTCCAACGAGTGACTGTTTTAAAACAGCATTCTTTAATGTACTAAATTTACAAAAAATAATTTTATTGGGGGCTTGTACAACTCTTATCACAATCCATACATACATCCGTTGTCTCAACCACATTTATACATATGTTGCTGTCATCATTCTCAAAACATTTGCTTTTGACTTGAGCCCCTGGTATCAGCTCCTCATTTTTCCCCTCCCTCCCACCCCCACCCTCTCTCTCTGCCCCCTGATACTCTATAAATCATTATT